AGAAAAATTAAGTAATTAATCTGAAAACGTAGCTTAATTAGGAGAGGAAGAAACGAGGTTTTAAGGGCACGTGTCATTCATTCAGATTAACTCTCTCTCTCATCCGTCTCATCTTCTCTCTTTCTCTCGAGGCGATTTCGATGGCGAACCGTTGGAATCTTGATCAAAACGGTATCTCGGACCTCTCTCCGACGATTCCTCCTCCGTCTCAATCTCCGACGACGTATCTGTAGCTGTCCACGACGGCTCGTAGATCAAGCTCCACTCCACCTCGACGAATCTTGATCAAAACGGTTTCTCCGACGCTCTCTCCGACGATTCCTCCTCCGTCTCAATCTCCTCTCAGAGAAAAAGCTGAGTATTTTTTTCCCCTGTTAGATCGATTGGTTTGTAGTGTTGCATGCGTTTTTTTTTTGTTTATGTCTCTTGATTCACCCGGTTAGATCGATTGGTTTGTGGTGTTGTATGTGTCTTTGTTATATCGATCACTTTGTCTCTCCTTTATGTCTGATACACTCGGTTATGTCTCTTGATTCAACGCGGTTATACTGATTGGTTTGTTGTGTTTATGTGTATTTTTTGTTTGTTTATGTCTCTTGATTCAACTCGGTTATGTCTCTTGATTCAACGCGGTTATACTGATTGGTTTGTTGTGTTTATGTGTATTTTTTGTTTGTTTATGTCTCTTGATTCAACTCGGTTATGCGTGGAAATTGTTTATATGGTTGAAGTGTTTGTCTCTCGTGATGTCTCTCTTTGTCAATATATCAATCATTTGTGTTGGATCAAGCTTCAGTCTCTATGTTTGTTTAAGTCGATCACTTGTTGTGTTTGTTTATGTCTACTGAGTCAAGGGATGATGTCTTAATCTTATTCTTATTCTTATTTGTTTCTTTAGTCTGAATCTTTCTTGTTTTAATTTCCGTTTGTTCTGTTTCTTTTCCAGATAGATCGTGGAAGAGACTTTAACTTTCTTCAAAGATGCTATGGACGGATGAAGAGGCTTTGGCTATTTCAGGTTAGATAAATTTGAACTGTGAATTGATTGTGATTGTGAATTCGAATTAGGTGGATAGCAGTTAGGTAGAATTAAAAAGAGTAACATAAATGTGAAACCGAAAGTTAAAACTTTAAGTCTGATTAATGAGTTAGATAGCAATGAATGTTAAAACAATGAGTTAGCTAAATGTCAACTCCATGTGGTTGTGGGTGTGATCAAAGCGTTAAACGCTTTCTATCTTCTATTAAACCTAGTCCATCTTCTCTCTTTCTCTTTCAAACTCGCCTATCTTTTTAACTCAACTTCTTCCTTATTTCTTCTTTCTTCTTAGACAAATTTAGATATGGATTCCAATCCATATATGAATTTAAATTTTGTCAATCTTCTTCAAAGCCAACAAGATTCTGGATTCGGTACGGAATCATCCCATGTTCCTTTATTTGGGACGCAAGCAACCGAAGGTTCAAACTTCGAACCAGACATTCCTGTGGAGGGTAAAACAAGATGTAGCTGGAATCCAATAGAGGACAGTGTCCTCATCAGCGCGTGGTTAAACACAAGTAAAGACCCTATCGTAGGGAATGAGCAGCGAAATGATGCTTTTTGGAAAAGGATATCAGATTACTACTTGGCTTGTCCTAGGGTCGCTGAGTTTGAAAGAAGGGGGCCATCACAGTGTAAGAATAGGTGGCACAAAATCAACGACCAAGTGTCTAAGTTTTGTGGAGCTTTTGAGGCATCAACTCGTGCTTTAACGAGTGGGCAAAGCGACGCTAATGTTCTCAGCAATGCCCACACCATCTTCTTCACCAATCACAAAAAGAGGTTCCTTTTAGAACATTGTTGGAAAGAGCTAAGAAATGACCAAAAGTGGTGCAGTCTTTCTTCGGCTTGCTCTCAAGGATCTTCCAAAAGGAAGAAGTTTGATAACGGTTCATACTCAGCCTGCTCTCAAGCTGACGAAGATACGGCTCGCCCCCCTGGTGTTAAGGCTGCAAAGGCCCGTGGGAAGAAACCTATTGTTGAGGGGGAAGATGCTGGTGACCTTCAGAAATTGTTGGTTACTAGGGAAAAAATATCGAGGATAAAACTTCTGGAGAGGCTCGTGGCAAAACAAGAACCGCTGGATGATGATGAAAAAGCTCTTAAGAAGAAGTTAATTAGTGAGGTGTGATTGTAGTTGTTCTCTGTTTTAAGTTTAAGTCCTATGTTCTAAGTTTAAGTTTAAGTCCTATGTTGTAAGTTTAAGTTTAAGTCCTATGTTTTAAGTTTAAGTTTAAGTCTTATGTTTTAAGTTTAAGTTCAAGTTCTATGGTTTAATTAATGTAATGCACTGGTTATTGATGATATAAAATGTTTAAGTTTAATTTCTCTGTTTTTAAGTTTATGTTCTTGTAATGTTTAACTTTAATTTCTCTGTTTTTAAGTTTATGTTCTTGTAATGTATATGATATATCTTCTTTGTTTGTTTAAGTATTTTTCAGGATGCTTGGGAGTTGAAACGAGTCACGGAGCAATGGACTGAAGCGAGTCACGGAGTGTATTGAAGTCTTGTTTGTGTCTTTAAAGTCTTTTTCGTGTCTGTATGTGCAGTGTCAAGAAGTAAAGTCATGTGTCTTTGTATGTCACGAGTCTTGTATAAGTCTTGTTTGTTTCACAAGTATGTCACGGAGTCTTGTTTGTGTCTTTGTATGTGTCAACAAATAGAATAACAAACTCATTTTGCTTTCTTATTTATATATGTTCTTATTTATTCACGAGACAACCACAAGATCACAAACTCATCTTGCTTTCTTATTTATATATGTTCTCACCTATTTTTTATATCCATCTTCTCTCTTGAAACTCTTCTACAAACTCTTCTCTATTGAAACTCTTCTACAAACTCTTTTAAGTCTATATGGCTTCCTCTTCTCATGATGATCCATTTGATGATGCGGTTGATGATCTGATTGATGATGTCTTTGATCAACATATTGATCAGGCATTTGAGAATTTGGCCATCCGTCGTGAACAAGAAGCACGAAGAAGAAAAAAAAAGAAAAAAACGAGTGTATATCGAAAGAAATCGTGAGGAAGGGCATATTCGTTTATGGAATGATTACTTCCGTGCTAATCCGACGTATCCAGAAAATTTATTCCGGCGACGTTTTAGAATGAACAAGCCATTGTTTATGCGTATTGTTGATCGTCTCTCCAACGAAGTTCAATACTTTCGACAAACGCACGATGGTCTCGGAAGGATCAGTCTCTCTCCCATTCAAAAGTGTACTGCAGCCATTCGTGTCTTGGCTTATGGTTCTGCGGCTGATGCAGCTGACGAATATCTCCGACTCGCTGAAGCAACAACTCGGTTATGCGTGGAAAATTTCGTTGAAGGAATTATACATTTGTTCGGCGATGAGTACCTAAGAAGACCAACACCGGCTGATCTTCAACGCCTACTTAATGTTGGAGAGTATCGTGGATTTCCCGGGATGATAGGAAGCATCGACTGTATGCATTGGGAGTGGAAGAATTGTCCCACCGCTTGGAAAGGACAATATTCTCGTGGTTCCGGTAAACCAACAATCGTTTTAGAGGCGGTTGCTTCGTATGATCTCTGGATATGGCATGCCTTTTTTGGACCTCCAGGTACCTTAAATGATATCAATGTTCTTGAACGCTCACCTGTTTTTGATGACATAATACATGGTGAAGCTCCTCCAGTTACTTTCTCTGTCAATGGAAGAGAATATCATATGGCTTACTATCTCACCGATGGTATCTATCCGAAATGGGCCACTTTTATCCAATCTATTCCACAACCACAATTGCCGAAAGCTGTTTTATTTGCTCAAGTTCAAGAAGCTGTCCGAAAAGATGTCGAACGTGCATTTGGAGTCTTGCAAGCTCGCTTCGCCATTGTCAAAAATCCGGCGTTGTTTTGGGATAAAGTCAAAATTGGGAAGATTATGAGAGCATGTATCATACTACATAATATGATAGTAGAAAACGAACGAGATGGATACACTCTATTTAATGTTGAAGAGTTCCAACATGTTGACGACAACGGAAGTTCACAGGTTGATCTCGATTTTTCACAGGATATACCTTCAAACATGGGTAATATGATGGACGCTCGAACTAGAATTCGTGATGGACATATGCATGACCAACTTAAAGCTGATTTGGTTGAACATATATGGCGTAAATTCGGACCTAATCAAGACAACTACTGAGCTCGAGAACTTATTTTGAATTATTCTCGTTTATTTATTAGTCTTTTTATGTTTTCTATTTTTAAATTCTATGTTTGAAATGTTATGTTTAATAATTTTATCAAAAAAAAATAAGTTAAATGAAATAATGTTTAATTTTTTTTTTTAAAAACCCCTAGAATAAGAACCTTGCAATGGGCACACATATTTAGTGATCTCTTATTTAAGTTTCTTCAAGTCACTTTTTCAACTTAATAATATTTAAAAAATAACTAGCACCCCTAAGTGAGTCTTTGGGATAAAGATGGTCTAAGGATTACATAGCAAATACTTACATGTCCTATTAACCTTGAGAGTGTTGCTGTTTTATTATATATGATGTTTTAGGATTAAGAAATTCACATTTTGTAGAAATACTTTTAAAAATATAAATTAAAAAATATCAACCAATTATAAAAAAATTTGTATAATCTAATAGCTTAAACAATTTTCAATAAATTTAAAACTAACGTATAAACCACAAAACATCTTATATTTTAATAAGAACTTTCAACATATCATATATTACAATGTAGTATCTATTAGTGCAAATATTATAATGAGTATATATTAGTGCAAGTTTGTGTTCCTTATTACATACTAATGAAATGTTTTAAAATGTGGAAAATTATTAAAGATAGGTCCTTCCGTAACTTTTTAATCTATCTTACACGAATGAACCGCAGACTCAAGTATAAATGAAGAGCAGCGCATATACGAATCGCACAACACGAGCCCTATTTTCTATAGAAGAAACAAAAATGTTGGAGTTTTATGGGCTATTCCCTATTGTAGTTTCACTCATATTATTGAAACTTTGCCACTCTTTATACCGTTGGAGGAGCCCTAAATGCAAGGGCAGACTTCCTCCAGGATCCATGGGGTTTCCTATAATCGGAAAAACTCTTGAATTCATGACGCCTTATGATTTCAATTCTGTGGTTTCACCGTATCTAAAGAAGAGAATATCAAGGTTACTAACATCTTTCTTTTCAGCTTTGTTTTTGAAGATATATACGCATGTTATCAAACAATCTCCCTTTTCGTTAGTGGCGCATATCCAGTTTAATTAAATAACTAGCTATATATATGGTTTTATTTTTGTTCTACTAATATTCATTTACACACATAACAATCTTCAATAAACCACATTTATACGTTGCCTTCTCCTTATTTCTTTCTTTTTCTTCTTTTATTTTAATGTTTAATACTTTATTCCTTTCTTTATTCTTCTATTTTTTTTTCTTTCTTCCCTTTTGTCATGTTATTTACTATGAATCTTTTCACACTAACTAATACAAACTTGAAACTATGTTCAGAAACTCATAAAATTTTCTTTGGACATGATAAGTTTGACTTCAATTTTTAAAATGAACAACACATATTTAAAAAATATAAATATATGACTATGTGAAAGCGCGCATATCCATGTGACAATCAACTCACACATTATATGTTAACTTACGTTTGTTCTACATAAACGCGATAGATTATAGAAATTACAATATTAGGAAATCAGGAAATATATCATTTTTATTTTGTGATTATTTATAAAGTTTTTAAACATATATTCTTAAATTAAACTTTATTTGTGGGCTTATGATTTAGTATTTTGGACTTAACTTTTAGTTATGCAGAAAGTTTAGACATTAAAAACAAATTTTCTGTTTTAATAATATATACGAAGAGAGAAAATAGTATATAGTTATCTGTCCTACCAAATAAATGCAGCAATGATTGCTGTCGACTGTCAATTCGTCAGTAAAATCTTCAAACGATAACGTAAATTCCATAAATAACACTAACAGGAAAAAATGGTTATATTCTTCATTACCAATAACACTTAATGGGTTTTTCTTTGAACTTAGAAATGACCATAAATAACACAGATCAAAGTACAATAAATTAATAAATAAAAAATAGTAAATATTTTCTAGAAAAAACAAAATAGTTAAAACAAAATAACAATGCCAGCTAAACTTTAAATCCAAACTGTTAACCCTAAATCCAAATTCTAAACCCAAATCTAGACTCTAAACCCAAGCCTATACTCCAAACCCGAATTATGGATCCTAAATCTTAAACCCAAACCCTAGATTCTAAACCCAAATCATAGACTCTTGCCCACTTTAATCCAAATCCTAGACCCTAAAATCGCACTACAAGAAAATCGAGTATTTATTACGTCTAAAAAACACTATGTAAAGATACGATATCGTTATTAGGTATGTTGTATCATTGACCGTGATAATAGGTCGAGCACATTAGATAGCGTTTTTTTGCTCTACTACAGTAGTAAGATTTAATAGAGAGTTTTTTTCATGCAATAAATATACCTTGACGTGTCATTTTTGTTATTATCTTTTAAAAATACAAATAAAAACATCTTAATAAATTTATATATCAAAATTGCAACTAATAAATGGTTTACATATAAAAAAAAATCAAAATTGATTTAAAATATCCCCTATATATTATTTGAAAATCATTTAAAAACTTGTAACCTTAAGTTTGTAAGAATTAAAAATAACCCCAATCCTATGTGGCATAGCTATTTGGCTTCTATTTCAAATCCCAAGGATTCTAGGGGGGATTTGCCAAAACCAACATAAAATTTCATTTCAACCCTAAAGGTGTACCCCTTATTGAGTCAAATGCAAAACCAACCTAAAGGGGTTATGAAGTTACTACTTAACCCTTGTGACCAAACAAAAAAACAGACAGTTATTTTACGGTTCTGTCCTTTGCAAGTCTACACATAATAGAGAGAAGTCTACACATTTGTAGACCTTCTTAGAAGTCTACTTTGTAGACATATTCTACAGTCTACATCGTCATTTGATCTTATAATTTAATTTTAAAAATATATAAAAATAATTTTTGGGAAGTTTTTAAATAAATCATCAATATAAAGATTAGTATGAAATATATAAATTAAAATTTCATATAAGTGAAAAGTTTAATAGAATTTATATTGAATTGGTAACCATGTGAAAGATAATGTGTTATGGTTTCCCAACAAAATGGTATAACATGCTTTGTCTTTTAGGGTTATTCATATATTAGGGTTAGATATTTGATTTTAATTTTTTTTTGTTTTTTTGACACACTAATGTTGAGAAGTTTATTTTTTCTATATTTAGATATTTAATATAATAATTAATACATTTTTGATTATCAAATAAATATTTAGGGTATCAGATTTGTGGTTTAGGGTTATAGTAGACTTACAATAAAGTCTACTTACATTTA